AGCCATTCTGACTGGTGTGAGATGGAATCTCAGGGTTGCTTTGATTTGCATTTCCCTGACGACTAAGGATACTGAACATTTCTTAGGTGCTTCTCGGCCATTCGAGTTTCCTCCTTTGAAAATTCTTTGTTAAGCTCTATACTTATTTTTTAATAGGGTTATTTGTTTGTCTGGAGTCTAATTTCTTGAGTTCTTTGTATATATTGGATATTAACCCTCTATCAGATGTAGGATTGGTAAAGATCTTTTCCCAATTTGTTGGTTGTTGCTTTGTCCTATTGACAGTGTCCTTTGCCTTACAGAAATTTTGCAATTTTATTAAGTCCCATTTGACAATTCTTGATCTTAGAGCATATGCCATTGGTGTTCTGTTCAGGAACTTTTCCCCTGTGCCCAAGTATTCGAGGCTCTTCCCCACCTTCTCTTCTATTAGTTTCAGTGTATCTGGTTTTATGTGGAGGTCCTTTATCCACTTAGACTTGAGCTTTGGACAAGGAGATGAGAATGGATCAATTTTCATTCTTCTACATGTTGTCCTCCAGTTGAACCAGCACCATTTGCTGAAAATGCTGTCCTTTTCCACTGGACAGTTTTAGCTCCTTTGTCAAAGATCAAGTGACCATAGGTGTGAGGGTTCATTTCTGGGTCTTCAATTCTATTCCATTGATCTTCCTGCCTGTCTCTGTACCAATACCAGGTAGTTTTTATCACTATTGCTCTGTAGTACAGCTTGAGGTCAGGGATGGTGATTCCTCCAGAAATTCTTTTATTGTTGAAAATAGTTTTCGCTATCCTGGGTTTTTTGTTATTCCATATGAATTTGAGAATTTCCTTTTCTAACTCTGTGAAGAATTGAGTTGGGATTTTAATGGGGATTGCATTGAATCTGTAGATTGCTTTTGGCAAGATGACCATTTTTATTATATTAATCCTGCCAATCCATGAGCATGGGAGATTTTTCCATCTTCTGAGATTTTCTTCGATTTCTTTCTTCAGGGATTTGAAGTTCTTGTCATACAGGTCTTTCACTTGCTTGATTAGATTCACACCAAGGTATTTTATATTATTTGCAATATTGTGAAGGGTGTCATTTCCCTAATTTTTTTTCAGTCTGTTTATCTTTCATGTAGAGGAAGGCTACTGATTTGTTTGAGTTGATTTTATAACCAGCCACTTTGCTGAAGTTGTTCATCAGGTTTAGGAGTTCTCTGGTGGAAGTTTTGGGGTCACTTAAGTATACTATCATATCATCTGCAAATAGTGATACTTTGACTTCTTCCTTTCCTATTTGTATCCCTTTGACTTCTTTTTGTTGTCTAGTTGCTCTGGTTAGGATTTCCAGTACTATATTGAATAGGTAGGGGGAGAGTGGGCAGCCTTGTCTAGTCCCTGATCTTAGTGGGATTGCTTTAAGTTTCTCTCCATTTAGTTTGATGTTGGCTACTGGTTTGCTGTAAATTGCTTTTACTATGTTTAGGTAGGGGCCTTGAATTCCTGATCTTTCCAAGCCTTTTATCATGAAGGGATGTTGAATTTTGTCAAATGCTTTCTCAGCATCTAGTGAGATGATCATGTGGTTTTTTTCTTTGAGTTTGTTTATATAATGGATCACATTGATGGATTTCTGAATATTGAACCATCCCTGCATTCCTGGGATAAAACCTACTTGATCATGACGGATGATTGTTTTGATGTGTTCTTGGATTCTGTTTGCTAGAATTTTATTGACTTTTTGCATCGATGTTCATAAGGGAGATTGGCCTGAAGTTCTCTTTCTTTGTCGGGTCTTTGTGGGGTTTGGGTATGAGTGTAATTGTAGCTTCATAGAACGAATTGGGTAGTGTTCCTTCTTTTTCTATTTTGTGGAATGGTTTGAAGAGAATTGGTATTAGGTCTTGCTTGAAGGTCTGATAGAATTCAGCACTAAAACCATCTGGTCCTGGGCTTTTTTTAGTGGGGAGACTTTTAATAACTGCTGCTATTTCCTTAGGGGTTATGGAACTGTTTACATGGTTTATCTGCTCTTGATTTAACTTTGGTACCTGGTATCTCTCTAGGAAGTTGTCCATTTCATTGAGGTTTTCCAGTTTTGTTGAGTATAGGCCTTTGTAGTAGGATCTGATGGTTTTTTGAATTTCTTCAGTTTCTGTTGTTATGTCTCCCTTTTCAGTTCTGATTTTATTAATTTGGATACTGTATCTGTGCCCTCTGGTTAATCTGGCTAACGGTTTATCTATCTTGTTGATTTTCTCAAAGAACCAGCTCCTGGTTTTGTTGATATTTTGTATTGTTCTTTCTGTTTCTATTTGGTTGATTTCAGCCCTGAGTTTGATTATTTCCTGCCTTCTACTCCTTCTGGATGTATTTGCTTCTTTTTGTTCTAGACCTTTTAGTTGTGCAGTCAAGTTGTTAGTGTGTGCTCTCTCCAGTTTCTTTTTGTAGGCACTTAGAGCTATGAGTTTTCCTCTTAGCACTGCCTTCATGGAGTCCCACAACTTTTGGTATGATGTGTCCTCATTTTCATTAAATTCTAAAAAGTCTTTAATTTCTTTCTTTATTTGTTCCTTGACCAAGTCAACATTGAGTAGAGAGTTGTTCTGTTTCCATGTACACGTGGGTTTTCCATTGGTTTTGTCATTATTAAAGACCAGTCTTAGTCCATGGTGATCTGATAGGATGCAAGGGATTATTTCAATCTTTTTGTATCTGTAGAGTCCTGTTTTGTGATCACTTATATGGTCTATTTTGGAGAAGGTACCATGAGGTGCTGAGAAAAAGGTATATTCTTTTGTTTTAGTATGAAATGTTCTATAGATGTCTGTTAAGTCTATTTGGTTCATAACTTCTGTTAATGTCAAAGTGTCTCGGTTTAGTTTCTGTTTCCATGATCTGCCCATTGCTGAGAGTGGGGTGTTGAAATCCCCCACTATTATTGTGTGAGGTATAATGTGTGTTTTGAGCTTTAGTAAAGTTTCTTTTATGTATGTAGGTGCCCTTGCATTTGGAGCAGAGATGTTCAGAATTGAGAGTTCACCTTGGTAGATTTTTTTCTTTGATGAGTATGAAGTGTCCTTCCTTATCTTTTTTGATTAATTTTGGATGAAAGTCAATTTTATTTGTTTCTTGGGACCATTGGCTTGGAAAATAGTTTTCCACCCTTTTATTCTGAGGTAGTGTCTGTCTTTGTCACTGAGGTGCGTTTCTTGTATGCAGCAAAATTCTGGGTCTTGTTTGTATATCCAGTCTGGTAGTCTGCATCTTTTTATTGGGGAGTTGAGACCATTGATGTTAAGAGATATTAAGGAAAAATGATTGTGGCTTCCTGTTATTTTTGTTATTAGAGGTAGAATTATGTTTGTATAGTTATCTTCTTTTGGGGTTATTGGAAGATTACTTCCTTGCTTTTTCTAGGTTGTAGTTTCCTTCCTTGTGTTGGCATTTTCCATCAATTATCCTTTGAAGTGCTGGGTTTATGGGAAGATATTGTGCAAATTTGGTTTTGTCATGGAATATCTTGGTTTCACCATCTATAGTGATTGAGAGTTTTGCTGGGTATAGTAATCTGGGCTGGCAATTGTGTTCTCTTAGGGTCTGTATGATGTCAGTCCAGGCTCTTCTGGCTTTTATAGTCTCTGGTGAGAAGTCTGGTGTAATTCTTATAGGTCTGCCTTTATATGTTACTTGACCTTTTTCCCTTACTGCTTTTAGTATTTTTTCTTTGTTTTGTGCATCTGATGTTTTGATTATTATGTGACGGGAGGTATTTCTTTTCTGGTCTAGTCTATTTGGTGTTCTGTAGGCTTCTTGTATGTTTATGGGCATCTTGTTCTTTAGGTTAGGGAAGTTTTCCTCAATAATTTTGTTGAAGATATTTACTGGCCCTTTAAGTTGGGAATCTTCATTCTCATCTATAACTATTATCCTTAGGTTTGGTCTTCTCGTTGTGTCCTGCATTTCCTGGGTGTTTTGAGTTAGGAGTTTTTTGCATTTTGCATTTTCTTTGACAACTGTGTCAATATTTTCCACCATATCTTCTGCATTTGAGATTCTCTCTTCTGTCTCTTGTATTCGGTTGGTGATGCTTGCGTCTATGACTCCTGATCTCTTTCTTAGGTTTTCTATCTCCATGGTTGTCTCCCTTTGAGCTTTCTTTATTGTTTCTATTTCCACTTTCAGATCCTGAATGTTTTTCTTTAATTCCTTCTTAGTGTTTTCTTGCAGTTCTTTGAGGGATTTCTGTGATTCCTCTTTAAGGGCTTCTACCTGTTTACTTGCACTCTTCTGTATTTCTTTAAGGGAGTTACTTATGTCCTTCTTATAATCCTCTATCATCATCATGAGATGTGATTTTAATTCTGAATCCTGCTTTTCAGGTGTGATGGGGTGTCCAGGGCTTGCTATATTGGGAGAACTGGGTACTGATGATGCCAAGAAACTTTGGTTTCTGTTGCTTATGTTCTTGCGCTTGCCTTTCGCCATCTGGTTAACTCTAGTGTTACCTGCCCTCACTGTGTCAGACTGGAGTCTGTATTTCCAGTTATCTTGCTTGTTGCAGAGCTCCTCAGAGTCCAGATGTCTCTGTGGTCTTATGCTCCTAATCTCCTGGGTGGAAGAACTCTTGGGACTCAGACCACCTCTTGAATCTGGAAATCCTGCTCTGGGTGCAGTGGTTCCTCTAGGATGGCTCAGGATTCAGTATCTCCACAGGAGCAGACCAACTCTGTGTCTGCCCCAGCCCAAAGGACCAGGCAGGGGCAGAAGGGAAGTGGAATTCCGGAGGGGCGGGGTTTGAGTAGCTGGTGTGTCCTGAATGTCCCTGGCTCCCAGATGTATCTCTGGGGCTTAGGGAGTGAGATGGAGTTCTTACCGGCTGCTCTGAGTGCAGTGGATCCTCTAGGATGGCTCAGGATTCAGTATCTCAACAGGAGCAGACCTACTCTGTGTCTGCCCCAGCCCAAAGGACCAGGCAGGGGTGGAAGGGAACCTCAGTCAATATCTTATCTCCTGTTTCTACACTTGGAGTCCTGTGGTATATGTGTTCAGCAAATGGATTTTGTAACCCCTTGGAATGTGTCCTAAGATTTAGAAGTCTGCTGTTATATCAGAAGGTAATTCTCTTATAAAATGTCTCTGTAGTGTTGCCATTTGGAAACAGTGGTAACCCTTGTATGCTAGCTGTTTCTACAGAATTAATGCTCTTTGTTTTTGCATTCTATCTGAGCCTGGGGTCTTCCTTCAGCAATGTTTGGACCCTTACAGAACCACAAGGGGAGGAGGTTGGAAAAGAGAGGAGTAGGTGGATCATGAGAGCATTGCCATGAAGCCAGCTCGCTGGAGTAGGAGCAACCCAGGCAGAACATGGTGAGTTATATCTTGGGGTTATTGACAGGGAAATAAACCAAATAGCATAGAGGGTTAATATCTGTTAACCCCAATTCCTTTAAAGGTTATTATAAATATAAAGGGTTTTTTTTGGTCTTTTAGTTGGGAACTAGATGATCTAAGGTGTGATAGAAACCGCCACATAATATTTACCACAATAATAGCCAATCAAATTAACTGGAGGGAAAAATCAAACAGTTCCACTACAATCAGGAACAGGAAAAAGTTGTCCATTCTCTCCATATCTGTTTAACACAGTATTTGAAGTTCTAGCTTCAATTTGAAGCAATAAGATGACTAAAACAAATAAAGAGGATAAAAATTGGAAGAAAAGAAGTCAAAGTATTGATATTTGCAGATGACATGCTAATACACATAAGTGACCCCAAAAGTAACCAGGGAACTCCGACAACCGATAAACATCTGAATTAGATGTGGCTGGATACAAAACTCACTCCAAAAAGGTCAATAGCCTTTTATTATACAAACTACAACTGGGTTAATAATAGACCTATGTCACCATGCCTAACTAAGGGAACTTTTAAAATAGAACTTATTATAAAGCACTACCTTCCACTCAGGCCTATAAGATCCGGTATGAAATATATATGGGGCAAGTAACTTAATCTGTATGACACACAGTGGTTAAATGACTGCCAATTATTGGCAGTATTAGGAAGAAATCCTAAGTTTTCTTTTGTATCGATAAAGGGTAAGCAAGTAAACTAGATCAGTCATGGGTAGAAAGGAAAGCTTACTGGTATCAAATGCCAAGGTTGTTTCTCGGGGTAGGGGCAAGGGAAGGGATGAAGAGAAACAGAAGAAAGCAAAATGAAGAAAAAAGGAAGCAGATTTTATAGGACAATCATCGGGGTGGAGTCTTTGAGCTGATGTAGGCTATTCAGATTGACAAGGACTAGATGCCCTTGCCCAGGGTACTTGTCTTTTCGGGGAGGGCTAAGAGAAGGTCCTGGTACACAGAAACCTTCCTTACAAAATTACTGAGGAATGCTGAATTTAGGCTTCTGTTTACTCAATAACAAGCATTCTGTTTACCTGGCAAGTCCCTTTCTGTTTAGGACATTGTCACCAGAACTGCCATGGGGGAGGGGGTTGGGAGTAGGAGTAGGGCTGTTGATTTTGACCTAACAAAAGTCCATTGTTCTTTCTCATAAACTAAGCTTTGAAAATTGACTATCCTTTCGTATTTTCCAGGTTCATACATATAATCAGGAGTAACATTGCTTTCTTTCTGTCCTAGCTTTCTTTCTGTTGCTGAGACAGTGCACTGATCAAAACAAGCCTGGAAAGAAAGTGATAATTTGCTTACTCATTCCCATCACTTTCTTTTTCAAGAAAGAAAGTCAGAGCGTCTATCCCTGTGCTCAGTGGTGTGGTGGGCTCTGTGGTGTGGTACATTCTCTGGCGTTTACACCAAAGGTGATTTCAGCAGCTGGTGGACTCTAGATATACCAAGCAACCTCCAGTGGAATTTGGGTACCTCCTCAGAGTAAAGGTCAAGAAGCTCCATGCAGGCTAGTGGGTGGCAGGTAAAGCCTATTATTTTTGCTCAACCCAATAGGCTCAGGTCCAGCTGCTGGTGCAGCTGCCTAGGGCATCATCCTCCAGCAGCCTGGGAACTCACCAGGAACAGCAGCTAGCATAAAGAGAGCCTAGGACTGCTCACTCCCAAGTTCCTGTCCTTGCTGCAGGAGGCACAGGACAGCATCCTAGATATCAAAGCCAGAGCAGATAACTTGGTTCTGAGTCAAGAGCAAAGAATTTATGACACCACCAAAGTCTTTAAAGGAATTTATCTAGTTGAAAAAAATTAAAGAACACATGTAACTCACGAAGACATCTGCAATTGCTTTAATAATGATGCATGATTAGCTGTTCAGTGACCTTGTGCTACACAGCTGTAAGTACCTACTCCAGAAATGCCTTCCTCCAAGTCTACAAAGTCACTGACTCAGCAGAAATCTACCACAGCTGTTCAGAACCTGACTTAGCAACATGTTTCTTAAAGAAGCCAGAGTTTCCAGTGGACACCAACTACAGGAATAGCTTCAGGATCTACTAGTTCATCGATGAACTGATGTTTTCTGTGTTTCTTTTCTTATGGTTTGCTCCTACCCCAGAAGATGGCTATAAGCTTAAATTAGATGATAATGAAAGAGTTTGTAATATGCCTTATGTTCAATAGCACATTATTAGATTCCATGAAAACTTGGGTCTGTTATTTTGGGGATCCAGGAGTTGCCACACAAAGCACATGGACATAGATCTCCATCAGACAATGATAGATTATTGAACATATTCCTAACGACTGATCAGTTGGTGCAACAGTTAAGACTGGGGAGCTGAAAGCTGTGCACCGATACACTATCGAGAGTCAGTTTGTACAGAGCAAAAACTGTAATAAGCTCATAAGCAGATGTAGGGTGGGCTGCAGGGTGGTCAGCCTTTTTCCAAGTTTTTTAGTAGCTTAGACATAACAGTCTAAACTAACCTCTATCTATCTTGGCTCTGAGTGAAAGCCATGGTTGGGGAATTTCCAAGAAGAAAAAAAAAATGAGCAAGATACATGGTAAACCTGACTTTGCTCTGAGCCAAACTATTTTTTCTTTATCTATTGTCAGGCTGCTTTTATAGTACCAGCAATATGGAATAGCTAGCAGACCTGAAGCAAAAAGGCTATCATTATGCCTGGGAAGTAATGGCAGGGAAGCAAACCTCTCCCCTTGAGTTGTTCGGTGAGTTAAATCTTGGCTCGCAATTTTTCTCCAAAGGTAGGAGATTGTATTGGATCTGAAGAACCATGAGCAGGACAGATGAAATGCATTTCTTGATTTAAAAAAAAAAGAAACTAAGGCATTAGTAATACAAGTCCCCAAAATAAAAATTAATAGGAGAAGGCACAAGGAATTACTTAAAGTTGTTGTTAATGAGGTCTACCAGGGGACCATTAAATAGACTTAAATAGTCATTAAATAGACTTTAATAGTCATTAAATAGACTTTCATGCCTTTGTTGGCATTTTTAGTCTCTCTCTCTCTCTCTCTCTCTCTCTCTCTCTCTCTCTCTCTCTCTTCTTCTCTCACTCCATCCCTCCGTCCTTCCCTCCCTCCCCCTTCTCATGTTTTGTTTGACTAGGTTTAGGCTTTCTTTAATTATACCTGAATGGTTAGAGAAACCAGCATTGTTCAACCTAGAGCCATGCACAAACCTCCTTGTTGCATGAAGAGAAGGTCAATCTCTTTTCTGTTTAATAATATGACTTCAGCTAAAGAGTCAAAAGAAGTTAAATGACTAACTGATTGTTCTAATTCTGACAAGTCTTGATCAACTTGTTATTTAGGTGTTTAAATTTTTGATCTCCCTTAATAAATGCTGCTGCTCCCATACTGGCAGACCCTGCTACATCCATTCCTACTGGGGTGGGAGGGGGGCACTAGTATTAGGGCTGCTCTGGCCATCCTGGTTTAGTGTCAAAGTGCTAGACGTTTCTAGCTATTTTGTGTGTAGTTTTAAAATCATGCTCTACCACCTTTACCCGGAAGCTACTGTGCTACCAGTTCACCCCCGGCTCTTTTTTGTTCCATCTGGCCTTGCTCTAGGATTGGCCACTGCCAGCTGCCTCCTGGCTTCCTTTGGTGCCTGCCTTATGCTCTGGGGGTTGACCACTTCACCAGCCCACTCCTGAGACCCTTCAATTCTAGGAGCAGGTCAAACATGCTACTGCCTTGCCCAGGAGCTGCCCTGCTCTGGCCCCTCCCAGCTCCTTTTTGTTCTACCCTGCCTAGAGCCATCAGTCCTAACCTGGCTTCTCCTTCCTACCTGCCTTTGCTCTGGGAGAGATCGAGTTACCAGCCCACTACTGAGACCTAAGAATCTTCAGATAAAGGACACACAGCTTTATTATTTTAGAACTTGCCAGCTTGGCACAATTGCTGGGCACAGAAATCTTCTGACTGGAAAGGCATACCCTTACCAATTATCTCCATTTTTTTCCTCCTGTCCTAAACTTAGTGGCTTGTATCAGCTAGCCCCTGCCAACACCTTTGGCCATCCACCCTTGGTGGAGGCCACAGGCCCTAGCTACCCCAAGGCCTTATATGATTGCAGAATCCTCTTTCCATGGCAGAAAAAGTCCTGTCTCTTTCCCTGTGTCACCACTTTAGTATCCCTCTACACTGGGGCATCAAACCTCCACAGGACCAAGGGCCTCCCCTCCCATTGATGTCAGATAAGGCATCTAACCCTCTGCCACATATGAGGCTGAAGTCATGGGTCCCTTCATGTATACTCTTTGATTGGTGGTTTAGTCCCTGGGAGCTCTGGGGTGGCTGGTTGGTTGATATTGTTGTTCTTCCTACGGTGTTGCAAATCCCTTCAGTTCCTTCAGTCCTTTCTCTAACTCCTCCGTTGGGGACCCTGTGCTCAGTCCAATGGTTGACTGCAAGTGTCCACCTCTGTATTTGTCAGGCTCTGGCAGAGCCTCTCAGGAGACTGCTATATCAGGCTCCTGTCTGCAAGCACTTCTTGGCATCAGCAATAGTGTCAAGGTTTGGTGTCTGCAGATGGGATGGATCCCTAGATGGAACAGTCCCTGGATGGCCTTTCCTTCAGACTCTGCTCCATTTTGTGACCCTGCATTTCCTTTAGACAGGAACAATTCTGTGTTAAAATTTTTGAGATAGGTGGGTGACCCCATTCCTCAATTGGGTATCATGCCTATCTACTGGAGGTGATTTCTACAGGGTCTATACTCCTTTGTTGGGTATTTTGCCTAATGTCATCCCTATTGCATCCTGGGAACCTCTAGATCCCCTGGCATCTGAGATTTTCTAGTGGCTACCCCTAGATCCCTGTCCCCCCACTGTTACATTTCTATTCAGTTTCCTGATCCTCTGTACTTCTCTTTCTCTTCCCATACCTGATCCTGCCCCCCCTCCCAGGCCTCTCCTTCTCTCTACCTCCAATGATTATTTTGTTCTCCCTTCTAAGTAGGATTAAAGCATCTACACTTTGGTCTTCCTTCTTCTTAAGCTTCATATGGTCTGTGAGTTGTATCGTGGGTATTCTGAGATTTTGGGCTAATATCTACTTATCAGTGAGTGCATACCATGTGTGTTCTTTTGTGTCTGGATTACCTCATTTAGGATAATGTTTTCTAGTTCCACCCATTTGCCTGCAAATTTCATGAAGTCGTTGTTTTTAATAGCAGAGTAGTACTCCATTAAGTAAATGTACTACATTCATTTTTTCCCTTGAGGGACATCTGGGTTGTTTCCAGCTTCTGGCTTTTATAAAGAGGGGTGCTACAAACATAGTGCAGCATGTGTCCTTGCTATATGTTGGAACAGCTTTTGGGCATATGCCCAGTAGTGGTTTAGCTGGGTCTTCAGGTAGAACTATTTCCAATTTTCTGAGGAACCACCAGATTGTTTTCCAAACTGGTTTTACCAGCTTGCCATCCCACCAGCAATGGAGGAGTGTTCCTCTTTCTCCACATCCTCACCAGCATCTGCTATCACCTGCGTTTTTGATCTTAGCCATTCTGATTTGTGTATGATAGAATCTCAGGGTTATTTTGATTTCCATTTCCCTGATGACTAAAGATGTTGGACATTTCTTTAGGTGCTTCTCAGTCATTTGAGCTTCCTCAGTTGAGAATTCTTTGTTTATTTCTGTACCCCATTTTAAAATAGGGTTATTTGATTCTCTAGCATCTAACTTCTTGAGTTCTTTGTATATTTTGGATATTAGCCCTATATCAGATGTAGGGGTGTCAAAGATCTTTTCCTAATCTGTAGGTTGCTGTTTGGTACTATTGACAGTGTCCTTTGCCTTACAGAAACTTTTCAATTTTATGAGGTCCCATTTATCAATTGTTGATCTTAGAGCCTGAGCCTGAAAATTTCCCCTGTGGCCATGCATTTGAGGCTCTTTCCCTCTTTCTCCTTTATTAGATTCAGCATACCTGGCTTTATGTGGAGGTCCTTCATCCACTTAGACTTGAGCTTTGTACAAGGAGATAAGAATGGATCAATTTGCATTGATCTACATGTCAACCACCAGTTGAACCAGCAAAAATGCTGTCTTTTTTGCACTGTATGATTTTGGCTTCTTTGTCAAAGAATAAATGACCATAAATGTGTTGGTTTATTTCTGAAGTTTAGTTCATTAATTGGCCTGCCTGTCTCTGCACCAATACCATACAGTCCTTTATCGTTTTGCTCTATGGTACAGCTTGAGGTCAGCGATGGTGATTCTCCTAGAAGTCCTTTTATTGTTGAGAATAGTTTTTGTTATCCTGGATTTTTTTGTTATTTGTTATTTTATTGTTAGGGTCCATCTTATACACAGGATTGGAATTCTCAACTGAAAGCAGGGATATCTGGAAGGCAGATAATAAACAGACTTCTTTTTGGGTATAAACCAACAGGCAATTTTTCAAGGCTTAAAGTTGCTCTCTCTCTCTCTCTCTCTCTCTCTCTCTCTCTCTCTCTCTCTCTCTCTCCCTCCCTCCCTCCCTCCCTCCCTCCCTCCCCCCTCTCTCTGTGTGCTCTCTTCCTTGCTTGCTCACCTGCAGTTTGAGGCTGCACACACTCTGCATTCTCTTGTGCACTCTGCTTTTCTTGAACTCCCACACTCCTACACACCACATGCACTCTCCTTTCACTCACACACACAAACTTCTTCACACACGCTCTCTCACATTCTCTCTACTCATTCTATCCTCACCTGGCGCACACCTCACGGGCACTTCACTCTCACCTCACTCGCTCTCCACTTTCTCTCTTCAATTGCCCTTCACATGCTCTCTAGCCTAGCTCTTGCTCCAGTCTTTTATTGTTACCCTAAAATCAGGTAGAAAAAAGACATTGTAAAATCATTGCCAAGTCAAATTCAAAAGAATAACTACATCCCACAAAGAATCAAAAATTACAATTGCTCCCCAAAGTTTCAAGCTTTCCTATTTCCAGGACTGTGGCCAAAATAATAATAATTACAAACTTATCATTATTTAAACTTTAACTTTTGACTTATTATACTTCAGGGCTCAGAGCTCCGAGGTCAGCTACTGGCGTTTTCTTGTGAAGCTCTAAAGATAAATGACATGGCCAAAGCTGTCAGGCAGTGGCCAGAAAGAATTAAGTTAACTCTTAACTCAGAAGTTCCACTAGCCTTCTGCTTCTGTACAATGACTCTCCTAAGAGTCCCAGTGTTTTGATTTAGTTTTACTAATATAAAATTTTATGCATTCTATACTTTCTTATTCAGAAACCACTCACAAATGTTGTACAAAACTTATTTCATAACTTCAATAGTTTTTTTCTTTCTCAGGATTCCAATGTTGGCTCTATTTCATTTTCTAATAATTTCTTCAAATTTTCTTTGCAAGTCAAACATTAATCTGGAACTACCATTGTGTAAGTTATTGCATTGCTCCCAAGATGAGAACACACAGCATGCACCTGGGCCATTAGGACAATGCTGTGCTGTGCCAGTATGCCTCAATTTTTAATTGTTTAAGAATCATTACATCAAGGAACACCTAGTTTCACAGAATCCACCAGAGCAGAAGGAGAAAGAATTAGGAAAGTCTGATATAAAAGAATAATTATGCACACCAAAGCCACCTGAAAAGCAATCATGCACAAATGAAATCTATACAGCCGTTGTCCAGGGCTAAGATTAGGAGAAATGGGAACAACTGAGCTTACAAAGACCTACCGCGGACTACTGA